GGCCAAACAAGTTGGTGTTTTTTCAATGTAGGCTTCAGACACGGGTCACGACGAGGCGTTCCCCATAGCGACCCCTAGAGGACGCAGTGTCTCGTTCCCCTCAGGGAACCATGGTTACATAAGTAACCCGAGACGTTATTATAGCATATTTTTATAGCTTATAAAAAATAATTATACAACTTAGAATTAAATAACAATAAATAAAAAATAATTATTATTATTATTTAAAAACACTATATAAAAATAATAAAAAAATATGCTATATAATGACAAACAACAATAATAATAGTTGTTATTATTATAAAATATTTTTTCTTATATTCTTCTTATTATTCAGTAATTTTATAACTATAAAAACCATAATAATAATAATTATTATTATTATTACTATCGCATAATGTTTGGTTTTTGTAGCTTTATAATTATTTATTATTATTAATAATAATAATAATAATAATTCTTAGTATTAGTATTATTATTATTGAGTAATAGTTTATGTTTTTCTAGTTTAAAAAATATAATAAAAGCTTTATAATTATTTTATGATTGATGATAATTACTGTTATTGAGTAATGTTTATATTTTTTCTATTTTCTGTTATTTTTATATTAAAAATATACTAATAATATATAACTATTTCTAATTATTTAATAAAGATAATAGTTATTATTATTATTATTATTGAGTATAACTACATTTGAATTTTTTTTATAACTAATAATAATAATAATTATTATTATTATCATTATCATTAAGCTATAAATGGTACTGAATCACAATAACCTGTTTTTATAATCAAGCACAAATCTCAAGCACACAGCAGTGTGTTATCGGCCCTCACGGCTCTCACGGCCCTTCACACGTCTCTGCTCTCTAGTCAGTCCTGGTTAAGCTGAACTAACATGAAAACCTTGCCAGCTCTAGGAAATTATCCCGGGGAAGCATTTATGAACAATACCTGATACACGATATCTCGGCATGCTATTTAATTCCCAGAATGCCGCAGGAGGAGCCTCACAAGACTAATCAGTGTCAGCTAAAAACAGTGGAACATCTTAGCATTACATACTGTATATACAGTATATAGTATGAATACGGACCAAAATATGCACTATTTCCGCACACACGGAATACCAGGTGACCTGTTACATATATAAAATAATGAAACCCACAATGCAATGTGACGAGCTTTTCACAGCCAGGCATTTCAAACCAGTACATTTTATACAAACTGTCCACAGTATACAGTACATACTATATATTGCAGAAATACTATACTATGCTATTCTGCATACAGCCTTACTGTTGCATATAATAAAAAAATAAATAAAAGTAGGCACTAGAATGTAAACAGCGCAGTATTAATTAGTAAGCTAGTGTTTTATTGTGTATTTTAAAAACTGAACAACAGTATCCTGCAAAGTATGTATTACTAATAATGTAAATATGATTTGTTTCCGTAAGACTTGACAAGAACCTGAAATCATTGTATTCTCATATTGTCCCGCTCCTGGACTCATTGTGTTGTGTTTTCCCTCCCCAGGTGTGCCGTGTCTCAGTTAATTAGTCATTCCATGCACCTGTGTTCCCTAATTGCCCAGTGTTTATTAGCCCCAGTCTGTGCTGTCTGTCGTTGTCTGAGATACAGGTCAACCCTTGTGTTTCCTGTGCTCCTGTCTACCCCGAGTATTCCCGTGGATTTTGAATTAAAAGACTTCCATGAGTTGAAAACCGTGCCATAGGCGAACCGTGACACATATCAGCCCATACATTTATACATGAATGTAAATGAGAGGCATTTAAACTGTAATAACCTAGTGTAAGGATTTCAGTTGCTTTGCAACATCACCGAAAAAACATAACGTCATGACACAGAGCCTGACGATTTCTGCTCCGTCGCCAAACAGACCTCGTTTTGAGTCAGTGGGTTTGCAGTAACCATCATTTTTATGTGCATTATGTTAGGTTTTATTATTTATATGTAAGCAGATACTATGTGATGCTGCATAACATGATCCGCAATGTTTTTAGCACCAGACTCCGAGTAATATCAGACAGAGTTGGCTGGTCATCCATTCACCCTTGCATGACAGTCATATGACTTTAGTTTGGAATATTTTTCATTGCATAATGCATTCTGTTTGACATACTATTTTTAAGGAATAGTTCACTCAAAATGAAAATCTGCTAAAATGTGCTCACCCTCAGGCCATCCAAGACAAGATGAGGATGAGTTTGTTTCTTCATCAGATTTAGAGAAATGTAGCATTGCATCAGTGTCTCAGCAATGGATGCTCTGCAGTGAATGGGTGCCGTCAGAATGAGAGCTGATAAAAACATCACAATAATCCACAGCACTCCAGTCCATCAGTTAACATCTGGAGAAGACAAAAGCTGAAACACATCCATAATCCATAACAACGCTTCCTCCAGTGTAAAGTGGTCTGGTCTGAATCAGGAGAGAAATCTGCACAGATCAAACAAGCCAAAGCAGTCCAAATATATAGAAATACATGAGACTTATTGTTTTAATGGCTGCATGTGTGCAACACAAGATGGAAAGAAAGTGCCAGCGGTTGGTGAAAAAAAAAAGTATGATGTCAAACCTTGTTAATTTAATATATTACACATGTTTAATGAAATATGCTTTTAACATTTACTTGAAATTATAACTCTTTCATCTTGCTTTTGGTTACACAGTATGATGTTTAAAATAAGAAATAAAGTCACAGATGCCTTTTTTTTCTCTCTCTCTCATCACGTCACGAAACAAAGCTCATATTCGTATTGGAAACGGCTTTATTAATATCCATGCTTTAATCCTTCGCAATAGTAGTATTCACATTTAGCAAAACTAGACATATTTTAAGCGTTCGGGAAGGTGTTCCAGGCGGGTTTACATGTAAAAACAGCTTACAATCACTGTTGAAGAGAGACTGTAAGAGGAGACAACAAGCACACACCCTCTCAGTGTTTACAAAGGGCGTGAGAAACATCATGATCTGCTGTTACAGAAAAGATTAAGTGCTGTTGAGAGGCTTCAGTTTGTGTTTTAAAACCGAATGACAAATGGCTCTAGAAAACGAGGAAGTGCAGGTCCTGCCTGTGTGCGGTTTCTGTAAAGCCTTACTGCATAAATATGTAGGCTAATAGATCTAATGTGGTGCTATAGCGTTCTTGCAGTGGGGTAGGTTTATTAATATTAATAAAACGGTGTTTATTCAACAATTTTGTTGAAGCCGCTTTAATTAATATTCATGAGCAGGAATAGCAGAAGTGGCTGTTAAGCCCCTCCCCGCAGGTATAAAGGCACCTGTCGGCAGTCACCTGACCGCAGACTCACCTGAGGAGCAGCAGATGGAGTCCAGGCAGCTTTCAGGTAATTCAACTATGTAAAAATCCACGTCAAATCAAATGAATGACAAAACAGAACTAAAGGAAAGAGGAATAGAGTATCTGCAATGCTTCTCGTTATTTGTTTGTAGACAAACAAACTTTTTTTTTAACAATAACTTGGATGAAATAATTTACATCTGGAACATTAACATTAAAGTTAGAAGTTAATCTGACAGTTGCACACCAGTAGAAACAGCTACTGGTTATGTATATTATGGTATATCACAATATATATAATGAATGATATTTGTAGATTTTAATATAATCTTTTTTTAAACTGCATGTGTGCAGCTGCAGAAGAACGCAGGAATGAATTGGAGGAAAGGGGCGTGGCCTGTTCCGTGATAGTGTGTGACATCGAACCAAAAGTTCCTGGTGTGAAGGATAGAAAGGTAGGAAAGTGTAATCAAGCTTAGTACTAGATGGTTCACACTGATGTAAATTTCCCTTTCCCTTTTCCATTCACTGTGAAAGGATATTGATGCACTTTTCTTCCTCCAGAACGACCCCTGGTCATGTGACAGCTCTGCATCTTCCTCCGACAGTGAGGACGATGATAAAAACAAGAAGAAGAAGAAGAAGAAAAAGCTAAAGAAGAAAAGAAGCAAGGTACTTAAATTGCGAAACAAAAAAAGGCCCAGTAGTGAACCCTGCGGCATCCCGCTCATCCCACCTGCTTGATTAGAGCTTAATGAGCACATCCTTCTTCTGCATATTATTATCTGAGGAGGAACTGCATAGATGTTGGCAAAGTGCTTTTGTTCCTGTTTTGTATGTCACTTTGGATAAAATCATGTGTCAATGTAAATGATATTTGATATGGACACAGTAATGCTTTATTACATGCTTAATCCCAGAATAATACATGCATTTGAGAACAAAGTAGAGGTGAAAGCATGATTATTAGACCATTTTCTGAGGCTTTCTGAATACATGTCCTCACAAGTGTTTTTCAACATTTGAAGAAAAGAATTCCCTTTTTACGCAATTAGAGAAAAGGCCTGAGGGCAGAACAAACACACACACCCACAGAAAAATATGACAAGCATCAATAACAAGTTCTAGCAGGTTTGTATCCGAGTTGTCCAATAACGGTCACTTCCTCACACAGAAGTTCAGCTCATCATCATCTTCCTCATCATCATCCTCTTCCTCCTCTTCGTCCTCAGACAGTGACAGCAGTGAGGTGAGCACATTCATTTTTAATAATCATTTTTTTAATAATTTAATTAATAATTAAGTTTAACTGGTTGCATGATATTTTGCACAGTGGCAACTAGTGCATGTGACAAACGTAACGTTTTACTGTCCTGTGATTTACTATAGTAAGTGCAAATCTCAGGCTTAAAATGCTTAGGAAATCTGTATTTCTCACATGTACTGAGGAGCTGAAAGTGCCACAATCTGCTGTGTTTTAGTGTAGAGATTTGTACTCTCTGATGTGAAACATAACCCAGAAGGCAGTCGTGGTCTAATGTTTAGAGAGTTGGACTTGTAAGCAAAAGGTTGCGGGTTCGAGTTTCGGTACCAGCAGGGATTTGTGCTGCAGCAAAAATGGCTGCCCACTGCTCCGGGTGTGTGTTCGCGGTGTGTGTGTGTTCACTACTCACTGCTGTGTGTGTGCACTTGGATAGGTTAAATGCAGAGCACAAATTCCGAGTATGGGACACCATGCTTGGCCACATTCTTGGCATACATTTCTTCAGAATGCACCTGTGCTCTATAACTAATCAGAGCGACAGATTTCACCAAATCAGCTTTAGGATTCATAAACACACACACACACACACACACAATACATCCCCTGTGGTTATGAAGGGAAGTTCAAATTTGCCAAAATTGTTGTTTGAAAGAAACATTAGAGGAATACATTGTTCAACTGGTTACTAGATTGATTTACATTCTTTTGATGATTCACAAAAATCTGCTTATGTAGTTCCAAATTGGAACTGACTTTTGTTCTTCTGTGTAAAACAAATGGATTTATTTAGCAGAATATTTGTGCTGCTCTTTTCCATGCAGTGAAAATTGTATTTTATTTTATTTTTGTAGATGGGGTTGGGGTAATTTTTTTTATTTTAAGTTTAATTTAATTTAATTTTATGTCTTTGGATATGGATAGGGATGTTTTTTATTTTATTTTATTTTATTTTAGTGGATAGAGATGTGGATTTATTTTATTTTAGAGGATGGGATAGAGATTTATTTTCATTTAATTTTATTAATTTTTGTTTAGTAGATGGGGATGGTTTTTTTTATTTTATTTTATTGGATAGGGATTTGTTTTGTTGGATAGGGATAGGGATTTATGTTCATTTTAGTTTATTTCATTTTATTTTATTTTGAGCTGGACAACCACTCGTCATTGTATACTTTTGTCGAGTGGAAGAACAACTCACTCTGCTAAAAATCCTGCATTCAACTGAAGAAAGAAAGTCATACGGGTTTGGAACAGCATGTGTAAATGAAGACAGAGCTGAACTTTAAATACAGGCTGTGTTTATTTACCTCTGTTTTCCTGCAGAGGAAGGAAAGTAGTCTGAGTCATGGTGTGATGAACAACAGTCACGGCTCGCTTGTGTAAAACAGGATTTGTAGAGTGTGTCTCATGGCTGCTGTCCTAATTATGAAATATGTGTGTTTACCACAAAACAACAACATTTACATCTTCTTCATGACTTATCTGGGTCACGCTCGCAAATTTACTCCTCAACAGGATGAAAAGAAGAAAAAGAAGAAAATGAAAATCAGCGAAACGGCAGAGCTGGGGATTCTAGCAGAAACAGGTAAGACAGATCAGAGGACAGGTGTTTCAGTGTCTGTGTGTGTGTCTGTGTGTGTGTGTGTGTGTGTGCACATTTTTTTGATAAATGAGGACATAAATGTGTATAATGACAAGGGTATGACATAGGTATTATAAGGAGAAGGTGACTTTTCAGGACATTACCCCATGTCCCCACTTTTCAAAACGCTTATAAATCACACAGAATGGAGTGTATTGAAAATCTGAAATAGCAGAAAGTCTCCTGTGAGGGGTAGGTTTAGGGGTAGGGTTGGTGTAGGGCAATAGAATATACGGTCTGTACAGTATAAAAACCATTACGCCTATGGAGAGTCCCCACTTTTCACAAAAACAAACCTGTGTGTGTGTGTGTGTGTCTGTGTCTGTGTGTGTCTGTGTGTGTCTGTGTGTGTGTAATATGTGATGCATATGAAAGCCGGAAATGAGCTTGTTGCATAAATGAGTTTGGCTTGCTGCACAGTATATTTTTTTGTATTTTTATTTATTTATATATATATATATATATATATATATATATATACCTTTTTTATTTTATATTTTATTTTATATTATATTTTTTATTTTATTTTGAGCTAGCCAGTCACTAGTCATTGTATTCTTTTGTTGTGTGGAAGAACAGCTCTTGTATTTTTCCCACTGATCTTCTGAAGTCTGTGATGTTTTTTCAGGTCTGGAGGGAAACACTGAATTAACTCCTGCAGGAGAAACTAAAGGAGACGAGGAGATGAAAAAGAAGAAAGACAAAGTAATGTCTCCTGTTCATTAAGACTGCCTCTGCTCTATTATTTGAATGACCTTACTTTTTCATTTTTTTTTTTGTTTCCAGGATAATGTCTCACATTTTGTTTGCTCGCTTTTTTGTGCTTACTTTTTGCTTGATTAATTTTGATAATTTTTCCCAGGATGCAGCTGCAATCAGTTCAGACAGCGAGAATGAAAAGAAGAAGAAAAAGAAGAAAAATAAAAAGAAGCAGAAGAAGGATAAGAAAAAGAAGAAGAAGAAAAAGAAAAAGAAGAAGAAGAAGGTATGAAGCGCAGAGGTTTGAAAGTGTTTTATTTTCACAGTATCTGTGTAGAATCTGAAATCTCTGTATCTTCTGTGTTTCTTAGGATTCCAGCTCATCTTCCTCCTCAGACAGCGAGGATGATCACAAGAAGAAGAAGAAGAAGAAGAAGAAAAAAAAGAAGACCAAGAAGAAGAAGGTACAGCAAGAAGCATTTTTGTGTGTTGATTAGTTGTTTAATGGAAGCTGTTTTTATTCCGACACTATAAAACATTTATTAAAGGGGTCATATGATGCGATTTCAAGTTTTTCTTTCTCTTTGGAGTGTTACAAGCTCTTGGTGCATAAAGAAGATCTGTAAAGTTGCAAAGACTAAAGTCTCAAATCCAAAGAGATATTCTTTATAAAAGTTAAGAGTCAGTCACGCCTACCTAAAACGGCTCGTTCTAACACGCCCCCACATATCTACCTCACTATGTGGGAAGATTTGCATAACGCCGCCCAAATGTTCACGCTGTGTGTTTCGTTGTGAAAGCGAAACTACTTTGTTTGGTCTTCCAAAAATGGACACGACTATTTCTCGTCGCTCCGGCCGGGACACGGCATCACATTTCCGTCACACGCTTGAGGTATTCGGCCAATCACAATGCACTGGATAGCTGGCCAATCACAGCACACCTCGCTTTTCAGACCGATGAGCTTTGTAAAAATCGACGCGTTTCAGAAAGCCGGGGCATAGAGGAGAAACAATAATGTACAGTATGTGGAAAATAATGTGTTTTTTTAACCTTAAACCGCATAAACACCTTTCATTACACCAAATACACAAAATAATGTTCTTTTTAGCAACATCATATGATTACTTTTTATTTTTTCCCCTCAATTTTAAGTGAAAATTTTTTTTAAAAAGGTAATTGTGACATCTCACAATTGAGTTTTTATATCTCCTAATTCTCAAACTTAAACTTATTTTATTTCAGCTAGCTGTCAAAGAAACATTTCTCATTTTCATTAAGTTAGACTTGACTTACTAAAATAACTGAAATAAAAACGTATAAAAACTATTAAAAATATATATAAAAATGGATCAAAAACAAACTAAAATTAAAATGGAAAATACAAAATAAATTAATTCAAAATACTAAAAAAAAACACCTACGTATTTCTTTTCATAACTGCAAGTTTATAGCAATTCTGAGGTTTTTCTTAGAATTGTCAGAAAAAGTCACAATTACCTTTTTTATAATTTTTTTAACTTGTGGCAGAAACCAGTTTCAATAATGCTTGTTTAAAGAAGTTCATCTTCATCTCTCCTCTCTTTTTCAGGAATCAAGCAGTTCTTCCTCTGACAGCTCCAGTGAAGATGAGGAGAAGAAGAAGAAGAAGAAGAAGAAGAAAGACAAAAAGAAGAAAAAGAAAAAGGAAAAGAAGAAGGTACAACGCAGCCTGAAGGCTTATAAAGTTCTAGAAATAATCACATTTTGTGTGTTTTTCATTAAATGCAGACAAAAAGTCATTAAATTCAACAAGAGACGACGTAAAATAAATGGGACTCATTTTGGTTCATGTTAATGTTTAAGAGAAGTGTATCTGTCAGTGCGTCGAAACATACTCTTACAAAAAATAAGACTGACAGAAAAGACTAAGGCTGCAAAAATGAGTCCGAGTGAAGTGAAGAGTGATACTGTCCGACACTAAGAGCTGCTGCTTTAATTGCCACACGTTCATTAAAGCAATACGCCCCAAGAATCCGAGGTTTACAGTGAATTTATAACAGCTAAGGGGCGTTGTCCTAAATTCACTGTAAACCACGACTTCACTGGATTTATTGCTTTTATAAAACAGTTATTCCATATACGTAGTAAGGTTACACAAAATAAAACAGAGCAAATCAAGTGTAATGATATTAATAAACACAGTGTTCTTCCACCAAACAATGTAGCTCCTCAGAAACAGTTGTGGTTGCTACAAAGTGGTTGTCGAGCAGCACACAAAGCAAACAAACGTGTGTGTTTGTAGAGTAATTTACAACAGCATCAAGCACCCGAACTCTCTGTTTTATAACTGTTCATAATAGACACAATTCGTCTGACTCACATCTCTCAGTGACTGTAGTTTGAGTTCAAAGTGTTGAAACCAAATTCACAAGTTGAGCTCATTATAACTTGCTTACAGGATTCAGGAGGTGAGTCTGAATCAGACGGAGAGAAAGACAAGAAGGTAAGGAACAGGACAGACATCAGGTGTGTGTGTGTGTGTGTGTGTGTGTGTGTGTGTGTGTGTGTGTGTAAAATCAGTAATCAAACAAATTCTACTGTACTCTAAACTGTAAACGTCCTGCAGTTAAACTGATTAACTATATTACGTTTGTGATTGAGTATTGATTTATTATTTTTGTGAAGTCAACGTAAAAATGTTGTATTTATTTATTTATTTATTGCCAAACATTGCGAATTTTGCTTGGTGAGCTCGTCAACAATAATAACAAACATTAAAATACATATATAAATACATACACATACACAACTATATATGTCCTGTCAATTATAAAAATTTTAAATTTTAAAATTATAAAAATATTATATAAAATGCTGTTTGTAACACATTTTATGTCTGTAATCTGATGTATTTCTGGGTGGAATAAAAAGATTCAACATTAAAATCACATTTTACGCTGTGTGAATCAATGAGACGGTGAAAAGCAGTGTTAAATATGAGCAATTCATGAAGGGTTATTATAGTTAACTAAAACTAAACCATAAAAAAAATTGTTCCTTAAATAATAAAAAATACATTTATTTTATTTAAAGGAAAATAAAAAAATAGCATATAATAAAATTGAAGTTAAATAAAGCATAATAAAAAATACAATAAAATAAACGGAATAAAATATATATGAAAATTAAACTTATTTCAGCTAGTACCCTTGGCAACATTTATTATTTTTGATTTATTTTAAACGGATTACACTAAAATAGCTAACTCTAAAACTGAAATAATAAATTATAAAACTGTATAGACACATTTAAACAAAAAACTAATAAAAATGACAAAAATTCTCAACTCAAATTAAAATTAAAACAACATATCAAAATGAATTCCAATTCAAAACATTAATAAAAAACAGTACAATAGTATCTCAGTGATACCAAGATAACACTGGAATGGAGTGATAGTTATTACAGTTTGTGAAAGATTACAAATTTTCATGACGTTTTTATTGGTTTAATAAATCATTTCAGAATATGATCTTGTATGTAGAAAGTAGAATTTATTTCTGTTATTCCCAACAGGACTCCAGCTCTTCTTCATCATCCGACAGCAGCTCCTCATCCTCCTCAGACTCAGACAGCGACGATGACAAGAAGAAGAAGAAGAAGAAGAAAGTAATGATAGAAATGAGCTACCTGGCCTGAAACCTAAATGAATGTGTTTGTGGATTCATTCTTGTCTCTGATTATTCTGCGACAATTAAGATGTCATTTGCTAAGAAAATGAATGTAAATGCAGATTAATCTCTCAATCCTCAGGATTCATCATCATCATCATCTTCATCTGACAGTGACGATGACAAGAAGAAGAAGAAGAAGAAGAAGAAGAAGAAGAAAAAGAAGAAGAAGAAAGTGAAGGTCAGATTCATTTATGAATTGATGTAGAAACAATTTTTACAAATTGCTGGTAAATTTCACAAATAATTACGAAGCAATTTAATTAAATATTAAATTTTGAATAAAAAAAAAACCTATAATATTATTTTCTTGTAAAGCATATTCCAGTAATCTTTGTTTTGGTTGCAACTTTGAAAAAGCATTGTTAGTGTAGTTTCACTGTAACTTCACAGCTGCATGCGAAAAAGTTAGTTTTGTCATTAACAGTTTATTTATTTATTATTTATTTGCTTTATTAATTCATTCATTTTTATTATTTCCGTTTGTTTTGCTCACATTTCATACAATTTCCCAGCAGCACTCCGAAGTACAAGCCTTTTCTTTTCTTGTTTCTTAAGGATTCATCTTCATCATCAAATAGCTCTTCATCATCCTCATCTGACAGTGAGGATGACAAGAAGAAGAAGAAGAAGAAAAAGAAGAAGAAGAAGAAGAAGAAGAAGAAGAAAGTAAAGGTCAGAATGATTCCCATACTTAAATGTAATGCAGTATATCTACGTATATGAAATTTCCATATGTGAAATATAATGTCATATGAGGTAAAAACGTGTATGAAACCTATTAGAAAGTGGAACTTCATATATTTACATATATATATATATATATATATATATATATATCTAGCCCATACAA